AGCTTTGTTTTGCCTCTGGGACACCTCTTGGGCACCTCTTATGGCATGACTGGTTCAACTCCTCCGTGGAGGTTTTGGGATACGGTGCAACAGATTCAACAAGCTCACAGGTTCGTGAACACATCGGATGCATCGAACAGTGTGGCAAAGTCCAGCCACGCTTCCTTAATTGTCGGGGACTTCAATTCGAAAGTTGGCTGTGTCATTGCTGTTTGTGTGTCTTACATGTTCACAACATTTTACCTCATGAGCATTTGCCTCACTCCGCTTGATGTCCCACCAGTCCGGATGCACCCCTGCTAGCTTTCGTCACCTACCCTCGGCCTCAAGTTTATATATATAGTTCTCTCTCTTTATGTGTATATATATATATATTGTATATGTGTGTGTAGTTGTGCATGATATTTAGGTGTCTTTTTGAGTGCTCAGGTTGGTCAGGATTGTGCAGGTACACTGCTAGAACTTGTGACTGTGAAGGTTTTTGCACATGAACCATGATAAACGACTTCTCTATCCAATGAAGTCGTCCCCAGGTGCTGGACTTGAGAGGACTGGTGGACTGGAAGGAGCCCGGCCTGGTAGGAATCCGTGACGGTTGTCCCGGGATTGGGTGAAAATAGGGACGCTGGGGCATGACAGCAGCACTTACATGCGGTTTGAGTGCCAGTTAAAGGATTTGTCCCCAACCCAGACGCTCCGTGAAACAACCCTACATCTTGTCCCTCTAAACGCGATTGGAAGGATTCGGGTCGCGTTTGGGCGAGTCCATTCCTTTTCTTTTGCTGTTAGGTTGGAGACCACCGCTTCTAGGTTGGAGGCCATCGCTAGCAGGTTGGAGGCCATTGCTTTTAGGCAATTTCGCTTTCTTTTGGCTCCAGGCACTGAATGCAAGAACTTTTCGCGTCAAAACGCCTGAAAACGCGGTGTGCCATGGGGACGCCCGCGGAGTTTCATTGCTTTCAGGCCTTCACAGCTCCCGATGACTTGTATGAGCTACCATTTGAGGAGCGGCGGAAGACCATCAAGTAGCTTGCAGATGGAGCAGCGGAACATGGTGCGGAAGATTGGCGTTTGGTGGGCAGGAGTAGGTATGCTTGAACCTGCATTTAACCCACCCATGAAGGCATAGCTACCCGACTAGTGTAACTTTAGGATGCTTTAGAAACCTGTTGAGGGCAGGAGGGGAATTGCAGCATATAATTACAACAGTCGAAGTTTGACTCATTCTCTCAAGCCCTCTCACACCAAGGCAGTTAACGAAGGCAACCGGCCCAGAAGGTTTTCCACCCAGGTCTTTGACAGCACAGGCCAGGCCACTGCTTGGACGGAACTGGGTGGCTCATTGTTAGGCCACTGATTTGGTGCGATTTGCTTTGGCACATCCATGGGATTTTGTATTATGTCACCTGTATGTACCTGTAAGAGGTGGCAGTTGGTCAGTTCTGGTTTCCAACAAAAGCTTTGGTAGACTTAGATTTGGGACAATGGTTGCCGCATGGTGACCGCCACGATTCTTGGACCCTTGGGGGCACCACTTTTGGGCACCGGCGATGAGCCTATGGTGAGAATGTGTTTCCGAACCAGACGCAAGCAATATAATAGTAATAAGTAGTGTTAGTGTGTGTGTGTGTGTGCAAATATATATATATATATATACACATTATGACACATGATATATGGTGACTATCCAATAATAAATGAGTTGATTTTAGTCGTACAAGTTACTTTTTGACATGTGTTGTTCAATTCATCAGCGTCTTTGGTCGGAGGCCTCCATGAGCTGGTCAGAGGAGCTATTTGTCATGGCGGCGCCTGGGAGGAAGACACGGATTGCCTCCTCCATACAGATCCAACACTCTGGCTAAACCCCCGAAGATGGACCGCACCGTCCCTGAGAATTGACACCCGGTTTCAACCATGTGACCCAAGACCAACCCGACGTGGTTTTTGGGGTTCAAGGCTCATCCGCAGGGGAGCATATTTGGCAACACCGACAAATTTGAGAGATCCAAGGGAACTGCTGGAATCCCATGGTGCCAAGTCCCTCCCAAAACTTGCGCAAGCACGCCAGTTCCGGAGACCCTGCCGCGTCTCGGAGGGTCTCGGTTTGGATCTTTTTCGCTCGTGGGTCCCTTTGCCTTTCAACGCATGTTGATGTTTTGTTGCGTCCCGAGGTCTTCTTCGTTATCATGGGAGGCCCACTCTTTATGTTCTTTGGCGGCGTTGCAGTGCTGCTCTTGGGCACTTGGCCTATGAGAGTGCCTAGACCATGAAAAGACTAGACTCGGTGGATGGAGTGATCGATGGTTTGAAGCAGCGAGAAGCGCAGCAGAACCAAGGTGAGCGGAGCATCCAGTCTCGGCCTCCAACTCCAAGTCCAGCACCCATAGACCCAACAATCATGGCAGTGGCAACCAGCCCATTTGTAGAGGAAAGTCGTAGTTCCAAAGTGCCACGGTGTGTTGGCTTCCATGATGGCTGTTGGGTAGTCCTGAAGATGTTCCCGTTTTCTGGGGTTCCATGTGACTTTGTTATGGATCGCTGTTGGGTTCCATGTGTCCTGAACATGTTCCATGTTTCATTATTTCAGCTTGTCCGCTGTGACTGGAAACACAGGAACGAACTGGTTGTGAGCTGGGGCAGCTGAGGTTGGAGAGAGTATTTGGGGAGGGTGGATGATGGCAAAGCCAAACTTACAATAGCCACCCCAAGGTTTGACCTTCAAGGGTAGATTCAAGTGTTTATTCCTTTTGGGATCATTTGGGGTCATTGTATACGTGTGTTTTATGCCTCACGGGTGCTACTGGTAAACAAGTTAACTATGTATTATCTTGTGTTCTCACAGATGTGCATGTCAGTTCCCAACATGACATCATCGTGTTTTTGCAATAGTTGTGATCAATGTATGTTAATGTTATTGTTGTTTGGTTTCAGTTTACAAGCATTAACACAGATGTAAAGAACAAGAGATGATGGCCTACCCTCATAGGTCGTCTAACCTTCAGAGGTCGCCAGGGAATTTTTTAAGAGACGAAGCCTAGTCTTGGAGTTCCCTAGAAGTCCAAAGGCAATGAGTGTCCTTTGTCGATGGACAGGAAGTTACCTGTCAGGTTTCCTAAAGACTGTTTTGTCATATTCGTTCAATATCTGAATCTGACTCATCGGAATATACGTTTGTACACTTTTGTTGCCGGCTTTTGGTTTTGTCAGCTCAGAGCATTGGTTCTTCGGTGTATGCTCCAGGCGGCATTCGCTGTGCTGTCTGCATTTCTTGCGCTACATCCATTGCCAGGGAGGGCTTTCAACAAGATGCTGCACACATCAAACTTTACCAAGCTCTTGTCACTTGTCAAATCATAGCTACTGTAGAGTATAACATCTCAAGCCAGACCTCGTGCCAGGCTGGACCTATTCACCATGATTCAGCAGAAATTCTGTGTTTTGACCAGGCCACCGGTCGGTGCTAGCCATATCTTCACGTGCTGAACAAAGTCTAGTACTTTGCCTGCACAGTCCAAAGCACAGGCACAGGCCGTCAGGCATCGTCAGGCCGTATCACTTGAAGGAACTTGAAGGCTTCAACAGACCTTCTAACCAACGAACACCAGCTTTGCTTGGCTTGGGCTATGTGCTTGTGTTTTCACATCGGCCACCAACTTCGCCCAGAAATATGAGAAACATTGTTGGCGATAAGTTCATTTCTACACGAAGCCATGAGCCTTGGGGAACTTAAGCTCTTTTGGCGATCCTACAAAGATGTGTTGCAATTAGTAGAGGTTATATAACAGTGAACTTCAGATGAAACTAACCGGGTGGATGTTCCCTGCGGGCAGCAAGTTTGTCTACATGGCATCAATTTTGTCCTGAATCTGTTGCATAGATCACTGGACAAAGCTGCAATCTATCGAGCTCCTAGAATAACTCCCATTGGAAACTCCAAGGAGGAGTCTTTTGACTTTGTAGCTGAGGTCGGTTAGTGCTGCACACCATTTAGAACACTGCACTGAACTGAATTGCGTGGTATACGGTATATTCTATTCCTTCAAGCGTTGGGTTTTATAGAAGTTATTGGACATCATTGTTGGATCGAGGTAACAGCACTCGGTTGCTGGTAACTGATTTTCTACTCTATTTGGAAGTGGTGCTTTTGACCCAAGAATGAGATCCTCTATATGTTCAAAACACCCTGTTTATTTTCTATAGCATGCCGCGCCTATACAACTCCTTTCATTGCATCTTCACCGATGCGGGAAACAAACAAAACACCGAAACACCAACGCTCGAAGGTTCAAGTACTTCTCCTACCGCTTCGTTTGGTGCGACGACTTCTCGGACGTGGCTTTCCAAACGAAGCCCTGGATCGGGACAGGGCCGCCCCATGGCGTCTTCCCCTTGGCCAACCTCTTGAGCACCCGGGACGACGGAGCGGGCGGAGCTGGGTGCAGCGGGGCGTGTGAAGGATGGTTAAGGTGGCAACGACCGATTGACCGGATGCTACTCAGAACTGAGGTAAAAAATGGTAAAAAGAGGCGTAGGTTTGCACACCATGTCCATCTTAAGGTTGTGTGTGTGGTTGGGGGCGGGGTTGCATCTTGACTTGCGACCTATTTCTCAAAAGTTGCCATCACTTCTTTCTACCATCGACCCATCCAGATGGAAAGTCGGGTTGCACCATCGCCTCTACACACCTGGACCTGTGCTTGACACGCGGAGGTGAGGTCTTGTGGTTCACGTGGATGTGAGTGAGCATGCCGTCTCGAACGCCAGATGCCTCCGCCGTCTACTACCCATAGTGCTGGCCATAGTGCTGGCCATGGATGTAGAGCGCAGAACCTGACCAGCCTTTCCACTCGTCAGGGATCATCAGGGGTGAAGAACTGAAAACCGGTGCAACTTGGGACGCTCGGAGCCGCTGTTGGACAGGTTCGCAAGCAAGAAGCCCTGAACGGATGGGCCGACAAAACTCCAAGGAGATCGGAAAAAGCATCATTTGCCCGCAAAGAGCCGTTTGATTCTCAGGCTCTTCATCTTCACGCCCCATGATTTCTCCCCTGAAACCTCCCATGGCCTCACTCCACTCTCCCATGTTGGCGCGACATCACGCACGTCCAGTATTTGATCGCACTGGTGTACCGATTCGCACATCCAGCGTTACACCGGCTCGCACCGATTCGCACCAAATGGGTTGGAGATTCAACCCATTCCAACCCTTTTGATGGAATGAACAAGGATGGCCGTTGGGTTGTTGCCGTACATATCTTGTCGTCATTGGCCGTTGGGAGTTGTTGGGAGATGTTGGGAGTGTGCCAGTAATATTAATATTGCCTCACATGTTTGGGGATGGATTGATGTGGATGGTTTTTACTGTAGCCATGCACTGCTGCAAGCAGCCTTGCCAGAGTGTCATGTACATGAGCGTGCTATCAAAGATAGTTGGAGGCCCCGTGCACAGCCCCTTGTAAACTAACCCGTGCAGGGCGCCCCGCGTCAACCCGTGCGGCAGCCCGCGTGGGTACCCACACGGTGCAATCCAATTCAGATGTCCCGCGTAAACACTGCATGGCTCGAGGCATTCCAGCCATCAACGACTTCTTGGGTTGCCCCTTCGTGGGCGCCGCGGCCTCCGTGGTCTTCGTGACTCCTTGGTCGCTTCGGCGAGAGCGGTTCAGGTCGGTCGCGGACTCGTTGGATGTTTGGGGTGGTTGATCGGAGGCGGCGTTGAGGCCTGTAGGTGTCCTATTTTTTGGGGGGTATATATATATATATCCCTCCTGGGATGGGGCAATGTGTTTCATTTTGTTTGCAAAACCTTGGCATCCACATCAGTGGGGTTGTTTTCATCGAATTGGACGTGCATCTCTTTGAACCCCAAGAGTTGGAAGAGCAGTCACAGGATTCAGAGAGATAGGGTCATCGATTCGTCATGGGTTTTCGATGTACGTATCGTTTTAGCCTCGAACGGGAGAGCAGGCGTTTGTTTCGAATTTGGGTCAACCTGTCGTGTGGTCATCATTGGAAACAACATGTTTCTATATGTTTCTATATTCCACCTAGAGAAGAGCACGTTTGTTTAACAGACTGGGGGGAGGACATATTGGAGAAGGGTGTGTGTTTTGTTCATCAATGTGTAGAGTCTAGTAAAGTAAGGCAGACCCTACGATAGAGATAATAGAGCATACATAGCTGACAATTCAGCGGTTCCAAACTTTACGGTGTGCTTTGGTCCTTTCCTCAGAGTGCTTATAGCTTGACGGTCACTAGATTCACTAGAAGGATTCAGAAGGAGTGTGACAAGTTTGTTGTGTTGATAGGCCATTCTGGGTTGCATGGGTTGCAGACTCCAAAGATTCCAAAGAGCCGGTTGGTAACATGTGTTCCAAATCCTTGGGAGCATCTGAAAGTCCAAAACTATGTGTTAAAAAATGTGTTCACCCTTTACTTGGCTCACCACCCTGAATCTATACTTGTGAGTCAGTCCTGAATCTATCAGTTGCTTTGTGCAACCAGACATCTTTTGTTGACCTCCGACAAAGCTCAAAGGTTGCGATACATGACCTTGTATGGTGTGGTGCCAGTGGACCGCAAGTCAATCGAGAAGGCGATGGCGCAGGGACATTGTGTTGGCATTGTCCCTGACGGTGTGGCGGGCATCTTCAAAACGAATGGTTTCTGAGCTAAGATTCCTGTATAGGCATCTCTCAGTGTCTCTCAAGGCCCCCCTGAACATATTAAAATATCATATAAAATATCATTAAACAGGTTCAGATCCACGAGCTGAAACCGTCGAGAACTTGCTTCTTTTGGCTTTGGGTCAAAACAAGCGATTGATGCCTGGGGGAGACTTCTTGTTGGCGCCATGTTGGCGCCTCCCCGGGCCTGGCAGACCTACTATACGAGCGCTTCAATCAATTGCTCACTACCTGGACCCGACTTCAAGTGCTTTGCTTTTGGTGGTTTTGGTTGAGGAATGTAGGCAATCATGTTTGCATACATGGAGCCTTATAGGGAGATCTTTTACCCATTTTCCGAGGCACAAAAACTGCTTCGCCCCGCCGTCCGCCAAGCTGCGGACTCGCTTATCGCCCCACTCGGACGAGCCGCTGAACGGGCACCAGCTGCGGGGCTGTCACCGCTTCCGAGGTCACAAGGAGCTGTTGGCCATGAAGGACCGCAAAGGCATCGCGCGATTGGCACTACGCACGGGCATGCCCATCATGCCAGCGTACTCCTTCGGAAACACCACAGCTGCTGGGGAGTTGAATGGCCCTTGAATGGCCCTTTAGGGGAGTGGTCCAATTCCTTTTCGGGTTTCGATGAGTTCGCGGTCACAGATTGTTTCTTTTTGCGGGGCACAGGATCTTCTGGGTAACGGGAAAGTGCCTACGTTGGCACGCCCTTATAGTTAGTCTCTCCCAGCGACGGATTCAAGCCCAGCGAGTCTTATTCCTGAACATTTGCACATTCTCATCAATTTCTACATTTGCCAGCTCGCCGCAGTGCAATGTCCTAAAAACAACAGTGACTCTGTGTTGTTCGGCTTATTCTCGTGCTCGCCGCCTGCGAGAACATTCATCCGAAAATTGACTCCCCCCAACTAACATAGCAACCTGCTACATCCTGCTAACACAGCAAGCTGCAAGTTGCCTGCAAGAGGGTTTCCAAGATGATTCTTTCTTTGCCCGCTTAGGATGTTCCTTTCACAGCTAAATGGCAGCTACCAAAATACATCATCTTCAGACCGTTTTGGGCACCGGTGACGCTGTCATGCGTTACGCGTTACGGTTGGCGCTCGCATTTGAGGCCTTCTCCTGTTGGTATGACTCCTTCGGCATTTTGGAATCGATCTCCCGAAAGGTGCCGGATGTTGGACGGCGGGGCGGGGGCCGTCGAGACCGAACAGATGTTTGGATCCAACAAGGAGGGGAACTGTGTATATGAGTGTGCCAGAAGCTTCAAGAACCTTTAAGTACTCGTAGGGTGCAACAAATTGGAAGAAGCGGTTTCCTCGATTTTACAGGGTGTTGAAGCCCTAGGTATAGGTGTTTCTATGTTCTGAATGAATCCTCCGCACGTCTTCGCCAACATTAATAGAAGTACGAACAGGTTTTGTAATGTTTTGTCTCGATCTCAGCTTATATATCACCTTCCCTAGAGCTCCAAGTACCTTCTCAGAAGGTTTGGAGGGTCCAGTCGTACCTTCTGAGGAGGTCCGACTGGAGCCCTAGGGCCGCCGTTTCGACGTCACACGACGAGACGATCGAAACGAGCGAGCTGAAGGTGATCGACACGCGAAACGTGTCCGTTCCCTGGAAGTGAATTGATATGGCTATGCCGGCTAGGCCTGGCCTGCATTAACAACATGTGTTAAACATATTAATGATATATACATTAAAACCTTCACCTGCCTGTAAGGGCCACCTCACTGGAGTGACCCCTACCAAAGTAAAAAAGAATGGCCACAAATTCCCACTCGATCTGTTTTTTTCCCAACCTCCCAGGCGGAAAACGCCGTGGGTCGGCAGTAAAACGCCTCGTTTTCACGATCCCCCTGCAGAGGCGCAGGCCTCGATGTTTCTCTTCTGGGGCCGATTTGGGCTGCCGATCCCTCGGAGGACTCAGGCGCGACTGACGACCTGCACAGCGCGGCGATGAGGTTCTGGACTTTTGGGGCAACACGCGCGACTGTGGGACAACACCGTGAGTTCAATATAGTTCGATCTGTTACTTGTGTCTATTTGGTTGACGTGTTTTTCCTTCACGTGGCCTTTGCAACCCAGTGACGCCCAGTGACGATTTCGGAGCTCCATGAAGGTTTGTCAGGGATGCCGCGCGATGATCTGCGTCAGACACACCGCTGAAGACACCACTCAAATCACGAAAGCTAGCGAAGCTAGCTGGAGTTACTCTTGCGATAGCAAGGTTTCTTTCGATCGGGTGCAAATCCTAACCCCTGATCTTTCAGGTCGAAGCCCCCCCCCCCCCCCCCCCCCCCCCCCCCCCCCCCCCCCCCCCCCC